ATTTTCCTGAGGACTATAAAAGTTGGTTACTATTTACATGTCTATTGGGACTTTATTCCTCTTTCGTCAAGTCTATGCTTAAGCAATTTGTTTCCGCTCACCCCTTTCATTTATTGATGTTGTAGTAGTACTTTATGTATTTTTTTATACATATGCATGTGAATATATATTCTTCTAGTCTTGGCAGGCCAAATACATAAAGGACACGAATGAGATCCTGAAAAGTAAAAATACGGAATCAAAAATTTCACTGACTTTTGAGATCCCAAACTGTGTTAGAAAATGAATTATTTAAAATTTCCAAAATACTCGGAAAACATTTCATATATTGAAAAGACTATATTTATGCTTTCTTATAAAATTAAAAAGAATACACTCCTTGAAATTCCAAAGCTAAAATTTTAGTTTCTGAATCATCCACTTAGCTTAAATAGAAAATCGAAATGCAGTTTATAAGCTGCTACATGATGTAAGTGTAATTTTGGAAATTCATTTTAAAACTTCCTCTCTTTATTAAAAAGGTGAGAATGTGAATTTAAGTATTTGGCATGATTTGTGTTATGAAAAATCTTTCTCAAAATTGGAAATGAAACAATTTTGTACAATTACCTCTAATTATGCACCACACCATGAAACATTTTCTCAAGGTGATCTTGACTTAAGTGTTTTTGTTCTGAATTCTTTTTTCTAACATAATTATATCCTCCTCAATTCTGTGAAATATTGTTTACTTAAAAATTTGTGTATGTATATGTTTTGAAATGTGTGTATAGTTTTAATCCTGATGCAGTCTTTTGTACTGCATAAATAATATTTAAAAATTAATTGGAATAATCTTCAATTTGATAGGAAATTTAAATAATATGTCTTTATTATCAAAGCCATTTACTTGTTCTGCCTTTGTCATCTTATTTTTACTTCACACTTTCTTTGTATTTTTTTCTCTTCTGTATAACAGGGATACTTTATTTATCTTTCCTAGTAATCTTAAGAAAGATATTCTGTATTTTTCCTTTCTAGCAGTTTCTTTTATGCATTCCAAGCAATAATATTTAGATTGTAATTTAATAAATCTCAAAGTCAAGTATTACATGTGAATCATTCAATCA